CAAGTTCCGGGCCCTAGTCATGACTTAAATGGCAGATAAGAAGAATAATATGGTTGAGTTGCGTCCGCAAAACGGGACGCAAGTTACTTACTTAATTTACTACCTGTAAAATTTACCCTTTTGCGGGACGCAAGTAGTATGCAGCCACCCGATCACAGTAAATATTATCGAGTAATAGAGGACCAGTAACTAAAACCAAAGCAGTGGCGAATTTGAGAAGAAGGCAGCGTGGCGATCACCCTCCCCCTCTTGGACTTATTTTTATAGTACAGGGGTGGGCAACTGGTGGCCCGCAAGCCTTTTTTAACTGGCCCGTGCGCTACATTTTCAAAATTGCATCATACAATAAAAAAAGTTAAAAATTCACATTAAAAACAAAATAAATTTAATAATTTTAAAAGAACTTTTGTTTATTTATTTTTTGCTTTCTATAAAATTCTGGTTCACTAGCTTTTAATTTTCTATTCTACAAATTGGTTCTCTAGTTACTTTAACTTCCCATATCTAGTATAGCATATTAATACATATTTGGACCTTCCTCCCCTGAAAATTTTTTTCAATTAAGTCATTGTTATTACCTATGAATCTATATGATATCAATTTTCCCCCTCCTTAAGTGAACTTCAGATCCACTACTAAACCAAAGGCTATGGAATTACCTTAGTGACGTTCTATGAATAACCAGCTCCATAACGACAACCATCGATCATATAAAGTGTAATTCATATTAATACTTTGTTCTCATAAAATCTAAAATCCTATTTATATTAAATTTTGCATTTAAAGTCTATGTTTTATCCTCATTTCTTACACAATACCAATTTTTACTAAACGACCAACAACCAACGACTGAAGTCATCAGATTTTTTTAAATTTTTTACTCTGATATAAGCAGACAGCAAAAGGATATCGCATAAAAAATTACTATCGCAATAACTATTAGTACCTATAATTGAATAGATATGTTTATACATAGATAATAGAAACATCTATTTTTGTATAATTATGGAATATTCATTTAATTCTTTAAAAATAAAAACAAAAAATGACTATGAAAGACATAAAAAATAATAATAAGGATACAAATAAAATAAGTAATGATACAATTTTATTATATTATATTTTTTTTATTTATACAACTATTTACAACTCCGTCCTTCAGTTCAGGGGAAAAAAAGCTTTTGAATGTATCAATTACGTCATCAATTTAAATATTATTCATGTATAAACAATTTCTTACTTGGTGTCATGTAATATGTAAAGCGAGTATACCAACCCTTAAATATTCAAATGTTTGTACATAATCCTAAATCGGTCAAATCTAAATTCAAAAAAAAAAATCCTCTAAAAACTAGTGCCTATTATTGTCGATTTTCTTAACTAAAAACGCATAACATAAATTAAATATCAATATATATATATGCAAATAATTAATATACTAAAAAAAAATTATTTGATTTACTCTAATATATAATTATTTATTAACGTATTGTATTACTTATAACCTTTTAGATTTATACAAATAAAGCAATGACTTTAAATACCTAGTACTGAAATATTTTACCAAAATAAATATTATTAAAAGTACACTTTTAAATTTCATATTACACGCAATTTTTAGGGATGGAATATAAACCATGCTATTTTAAGGTAGGTATTACGTAACTTGGTTTGCACTGAGCTTGAAAATGATAATTCACAAGAACAGCTCATTAGCCGTTACCTACTAGTAACGTTAACTATTAATTTTTTATCGAAATATAGTTTCCTTTCCGTAGTTAGATTCTGTTAGCCTATTTATTTAATCCATATATTTATTTCACATTTTTTTTATATTCAGTGTGAGGTTTAAAAAGTTAATTCATACATTCAACATAATCAGAATTTAGATCAAATTCCGTGAACAGGATTAAAATATCTCTACAGTTGCTTGTTTATACATAAAACTAATAAAATCCAAATACTTTAAATCATATTCATTATTATTTATTAATTTCATGATTGTATTTAATAATAATTCCACTAACCATTTTTCCTTTAGGCATTGTCGTATTGAACTGTAAGTACAGCGAAACTTTCATTTCTTTTTTTTTTCGGAGACATAATAATGATAATACCGTGTATGTACCTAGGTACTTTATCAGTTAATTTTGGCGATCTTTTTCAATGGTGAAATTTCAATCATATAACTTAAACAAATTTAAAAGCTTTTTAAAAAAAAAGTATCTAAGAATACCTTAATTGTAAATAAGAGAAATACGATTCGATCTACAGCCATAATGAAAACAGTGTCAATATTTTTTATAAACACAAACACGGTTCAGCAGAAATAAAATAGTCACTTAGATCCCTCACACACTAAATCTTCATGATCCATAGCAGCGATACTCAACCTGGAAGACAAGATTCACCAATATGGCCAGGGCCGGATTAAGCACGGAGCCTAGGAGCCCGGGCTCCAGGCCCTAAAATATTGAAGACCCCGAAGGGTCCTTCTATCTGAAACCAAATTCAAAATATTTTATTTTAAGTTCAAATTTTATTTTGGTTACACATTTTTTTAATTTTCGTAATTGCATTGTATTATTTTTATTACGTCATGTACTGAATGCCATCCGCAAACGGACGGAGCGATAATATCGGATTGAAATAATTGTTTGCATTCGGTGCATCAACTAGAATATTACATTACTTATCTTATTTTCGACAATATTTTGTTATTAGTAGATTTGGTTTTGATTTATTTATAGTTAATCTAGATTGTTTTTGTTAGAAACATACGAGCGTCTGTCGTCGATCATCATTTGGTCTTCACTCTTCACGATTTAATCCCAACAGTTGACTTATTTAGTGATTACTGATTACAATATAATATTACTTACAATATCTCAAAAATATGCTAGTGGAGCCGCTAAGCGAAAGCTTAAAAAAGAGAAAGAAGAAAGTATGAAAATATTGCTAAATAATGTAGGCTATTGGCTATTTGAAAAATTATTATTATCCCATGTATCCTATGTGTAAGAAATATTATAAAATTTAATCTGACCTAATATCAAGACCTAATGATTTTAAGCTAACTTTAATGAATAATATTATATAAAAGCATGTACTTAATGAAAATTGACAAATATTAAAAAAATTTAAAGATATTTGTGTGCAATTTACCTTGTATCATTTTTTTAAATAAATAAAATTCAGTTATTGGTAATAAATATTGTAAGGACTAAGGGCCCTTTGGAATACTAGGCTCCAGGCCGGGTAAACTCTTAATCCGATTCTGAATATGTCAATACATAATATAAAATAGCAATTAAATAAGTACAAAAATGTATTTAAAAATCTACTAAGTATATTACCAACCAAAAGAATGCTGAATGAGTTTAAAAAAATCTGTTGAATCAAAATGATTTCTTACCAATAACAGCAGAAGAGTCATTAAATTTAAAAAATATTCATTTTAATTTAACATAATATAAACTATTCTTTATAAAAAATGTGATGCTCTAGTTAATAGTTTTGCTTTACAGTTTGATAATTTGATATTTATTTTAATATTAAAAGTTACAAAATTGCATGGTTTTTCTAAAATGTAAAATTTGATATGTTGTACCTATGTTTGTTAGCCGGAATAACACATATGAGTATAACGTTCTCTTAATTGCTTATTCTTGATATTTTATAACTATATTTAATCAAAAATATACAAGAATCATAAATAATAATAATATTAATACATTATTGCTATTACTAAAGTCTAAGGCTCAGAAGTTGTAGGAAATGCATATTGTTCTGTATGCTCTCAATTTATAGCAGACCAGACTAGAAATCTGAAATGTACAATGGAGAATTAAAGAATTGAAAACGCATATTTTGTCAATTTTAGCAAAAAAAGTGCATATTTTATTGACTTTATACACACATTATGCATATTTCATATTTCTCTAAAAAAATAGACATTTTCTTTTTTAACCTCTATATTTCAATTAATATTGAGTGTAAAACTCAAAATTATCAACGAAGGTATTTATTGTCATCATCAAAGTCAATAATTAAATTAATAGCAGCAAACCTTAACCTAATCGTTGGTGGTACAACGCAATAACTTAACAGGTATTAGAAAACATGTATTTTGTTCATTATTTCAAAAATATTGGAAAATATTTTTAATTATATCTTCAGTTCAATAAAATGTCAAAATGCCAATAAATTATAATTTTTTTTCAATTATTAACAGTTTCTATGTGTATTATTATTTTATTAACTTATTAACAATATCTAATGTATTTACTTAATTATTGGAGTTCAAAATAATTTTTTTGTATATTTAACATTTTTAGTGTATGTTTCACCGTTTTTAGCTTCTATAACTTCCAAACCCTAGTTATTACCATTTATTAAATCAAGTTTAATTGATGTAATACCTTTAGTAAAAACTGCAGTAGTAAAATATTGACAATTTATTACTTTTTTATTTTTGTAATTTATTTTCATAAACAGAAAAATTACTAAAAAAATTATAGAATCATTTATTTAAAGAGTGACTAAGTGCCACCTAATAGATAAAATTATTAACCTGTTAAGATGTCTTATAAATAGAAAACATGGAAAACAAATATATTCCTCCCTTTTCTCAAAATATGCTTTGTTAAATATTATTATTTTTTTCTCAAATTTGATCTTTCATAACAATAAAACTGTTATTTTAAAGTTAGATATTTTTCATAAAAAAATAAAATCAATAAAAAACTTTAAAACTTTTACAAAAATCATTATAAGAGATACAAAAAAATCAAAATTATAATTAAATATATAAACAAACATGTTCCTAATTTTGACACTGAATAAGAGCGTATTGAAATAATTTAATTCATTCACCAAAATATGTACAAAAATTTTAATTTTCCTTAAAATAGGTAATAAGTTTGCTATATTTTCATAAAATATAATATTTAAATAAATATAAATTAATAAATAATAATGTATAATAAATATTATACCACAACAATAAAATATTCAATAAATTTATGAAACACATTACACATTTTTTGAAATTGTATGCTTATTATTTCAAACTAGTTGTAGGATAATTTTGCTTAGCTAAGAATGGATTAAACTGAGAATTATACTTTTGAACAATAGTGGGTTTTGGTTGTGGTTTTGAAACTTCAACAGGTATGGTTCCATTCATTCTTGCTAATAATTGACTAGCTCTAAACCTCTCTTCCCTTTCTCTCTTTAATCTTTGTTCTCGAAGTTTTTCCAAAGTTAATTTTTTTTCATGTTTGTCATTAACTTTTTCCTTTTCCTTTTTCTTTTTTTTTTTCTTGTGTTTTTTTAAAGGTGATTCATCATGTTTTTTTATCAATGTTTTTGAATGTTTACTACTTTTATGGTCAGTTTCGACATATTTCTTCATGACAATAAGTGGATCATTAAATGTTTTAACTTTTGTTTCAATTTCCTTATCAGTTTTACACAAGTCTAGTCGTTTAGGTTTCTTATTATACCATTGTACATTACCAGTAGCTTCATCTGTGTCCTGTCCTAAATAAGTAAGATAACCAACTTTTTTTTCATATGCTTCTTTTTCTTCTTTTTTTTCTTGTTCGTGATCTTTGTTAACACCTGTATGAGCAACATGCCCATCTTCAAGATCTTGAAAAAAATTAACATGAGTTAGCACTTCTGATTTAGTTTCTTCGGGTCGATCTGCAGAGTCATCATATCTTTGTTTTGACTTATTTCTCAGTAATGAAAGTTTTGTTTCTTGCTCCTAATGAAAAATATATAAATATAATGAATTTAAAATGAATTTATAACTAATTGTTCGTAATTTTAAAAATTTAAAGCCTAAGTTAACAGATTAAGTAAAAATAATTTCTGATTAAAAAAAAATTATTTTACAAAATAATTAATAAGAATTAGGTACCTATTATATTTATTTTTAAAATTTTATACACGGAATACATAGTTTTTAATGTTAAATTATAATCTAATTTTTTTACAACTACTTACGGCTAGCTGTATCCTCATCTTAAGTTTCTTCTCTTCTTCAGCTGCTTGTGCTTCATCGCGCCGAACACGTGCAATGTTTTCTTTGGTTCGTACATGCCACCTCTCATAAAATATTATTAATAGGTATATTTAATGATTAATCTTAAACAAATTATGGAATTTATTAAAATTATTTACAAAAAGAAAGTTTAAATAACAGTGAGTTTAACTAAAATATATTTCATGATTTGTTGAAGAACAATATGTTTTTAATACATTATACAATTATATAATCTGTTTAATTCTAAATTACCAAACTAGGTAGTAGTTTTTAAACAAATAATTAAGATTTTTCTTGTTTTACTAATTTAATATTGTTCTAATACAGTATTATAATTGGTGTACCTACTTAATTTATTGTATAAATCAATTCAAAAAATTATGTTGGAATACAATTTGAAAGTACTCAACATATCTAAATTTAAGATAATAAACTTCAAACAATGTAATCTGAACACTACTAATCATAGTAAAACAAAATCAATATATCTTCCAGAGGATGTAAGATTTTGTAGATTGTATAATAACACAATAAGTTATCTATCAGCTATTCAAATTAGGTTTTTTTGTTATTTATAAGAGATAAACAATCAAAGTAGTTTATAATTTTAGTTAACTTACCTCTTTTTTGGTAATATATTCATTTTGATGTCTTCTAAAACACACTTCCTAATAAACTACCCAATATCTATTTTACCTAAGTAACTACTGTTGAAACTGAAACGTCCAAAAACATAAATGCACGTATTATTAAAATTGAAGAAGTATTAATTTTAAATTGTTAATATTAATGCCGCACACTATTCATATAATAGTATTATAATTCATACTTAATGGCTATTTCAGTATTGCTTATTAGTTATTAGTTATTTCTTCATAGATATTGGTTGAATAAAATAAAATAAACATAACACTTATAACAAAAATATTATTATCTATGGTTTATTATCTATGGCTCAAGGATTTTGTGATAAGACCAAACGAACAGTGTACGTTAGCGACAGAATGTTAGCCAGCCGAACGCGGACTTTTGGCCACACTGTACTCAGAGGCGCCGGGCCAATCGTTTGCGGTCGTTGTCGCTGTTGCAGCCGCCGCCGTTCTCTCTGACCGACTGCCGTATGATAGGTGCTCGCACGTAACATCGTAAATCTTATAATGTTATAAGCTATAACATTATTATATTTAATAATAATAGTAATAACGTTAAACAACGACTGATTTATCGTATTTACGATTTTCACTGAGGCCAGTCACCAGCAACCATTGAACCATCCAACATTCGATATCCATACCGATTACCGACCGCAATTGTCAACCTGTCATTTTCGCCTTTTCTACGCTACCGTTAGCTTGCAGTTACTTCGTTCGAGATGGCGATATCAAATACAGTTGGTGAGTGTACACGCGGCCGCTTCGATGATGCACGCCGTAACATCACTGCAAGACGCAGGTTTTGTTCCGTCCGCCGACCGACTACTCGGCAACGACGTGCTCCTGTGGATCTGTGGTGGTGTGGCGGCGGCGGCTCTATTTTCTACGATTTCCGTATGGTCTCTTGACTGATCTGTTCACTGTTCCTCAAATGTTAATTTTATTTTACAGTCCCACAGTATTTTACTAAACCGCGACTCTTTCATTCGTTCTGTGACTTGAGCATAATTATTATCGACATGTTGTATGACGTTTATTGTGACGTCTATTGTTATTTGCCTTTACTGATTTCACGTGGATGAATACACATTCGGCAACTCGTTTTAGGAAAGATATCAAATAAAGCGCTGTTAATTGTTTTGATTGGTTATTTAATATTTTGTTTTTTATTGACAGCAATTATACATTGACGACATCATTATTTAATTATTGATAACACTTTAATGGATGTTAATGAATAATTTTTTTTAGTGATTCCAAGAAATTTTAGACTACTTGAAGAATTGGAACAAGGACAGAAAGGTGTTGGCGATGGCACTATTAGTTGGGGTCTTGAAAAAGATGATGATATGACTTTGACTCAATGGACTGGAATGATCATTGGACCACCTAGAGTATAAATATTTATTATTTCAATATTAAACAAATAAATTAAATAATAATAAATTTCTTATGTTTAGACTCCTTATGAAAATAGAATGTATAGCTTAAAAGTGGAATGTGGTCCTATGTATCCAGATGATGCACCTGTCGCTCGTTTTGTTACGCGCATCAATATGAATTGCGTGCATAATACTAGTGGATTGGTATGTTGTATGATTTATATTTTATAATATTATATAATTTTACTGTAAAAACTTAATATTACTGACATTTCTATCATAGTTCTAAAATATAAAAATTTAACTTTTAATAATTAAATAATTATGATTTAGGTACTATAAATTATTATTTGAGCATTACCTATAACATAAATCATTTTTATTTTAAAACTTATTTGTTTTTAATATTTTATAAATTAGATATAACAAACAAATCCAACCATACTTATCTTTATGAATTCAAAATTTTTAAATCATAATTTTTCCTTGCTTTTTAAGCTATTTTAGTATACAGTAACAACAGTAATACTAATAATAGTGTTTTATGTTTTATTAACATCTACTTTCTACTATTGACAAAAAGTAATAATCTAACTATCAATAATTGATTTTTTTTTATTATTATTTTAATGTTATGTATTTTTTGAGTAATTACTTTATTTTACATCTTCTATTTTAAAAATGTTATTGAATTAAAATCAGACTACTTTGGTATATTTTTTTGTTATATCAACTATTGTCTAATGCTATGAATTTCATCATCTACACCAATGGTGTGCAACCTAGTGGTCACAAAATTTTAATGGAGAATCTTTGATAATTTAAAATTAAATGAAAAAATTGCATATTATGTATACCTATTATACATACATAATTTCAATTGTAAAACTCAACTTAAAATCAATCATTTCTAAGTTTCAATCTCAGATTGCTCTTTAAATAATTTTTATTATATTTATATTTTGGAATTTAAAATAAATGATTTCATTAATACGAACATACATATTATATTATAATATGTACTTTTGTAATGTTTAGTATGTAATCGTCTCAATGAAATAAATAAATTGGAGGATAATCTTAAAAGATAACACCATTATTATTTTATTTCTTATTGATTATATGTTCGATATTATCACTATTCACTGTTCTAATTTATTGGTTTTTATTGGTTACAAATATTTTACTAATTTAAATGTATATTATATAAAATGGTCTTGATTATGAATCAATCTCAGATCCTTTTCGTCTTTCCTCTAATTATTTTACAAAAAAATTTTTTATAGTAGGTTTATTTTTATTTTTGTTTAATTTGCAAGTATCCAAATATTAAGGTAGATTTATTACGACTCTCGAAACCTAGGTCAATCACAAATCCATTATAGTTAACCATTTCTGTTTTATATAGTATTAGTATTATAATGATTATTCCTAGATTTGTTCAGTTAAACCTAACCAATGTTATTTTGATTTTTTTTTTTTTTTAAAGAAAAATTATTTAATAGTTGATACTATTTTTCAGGTTGATAATAGACAAGTACCAGTGTTGGCTAGATGGCAACGTGATTACAACATCAAAACTGTTTTACAAGAGCTTAGGAGATTAATGACACTTAAGGATAACATGAAAATGTCTCAGCCACCTGAGGGTAGCACATTCTAGCCATCGCCGCTGTCTGAACCATGGAATAGTTTGTACCTAGCGCCTCGCTACCAACCCACAGCGGCCGCACTGGTACAACCTACACAGCCGATGCAAGCAGTACAACAACAACAACAACGCCGCTTCATTGGTCGTTGCCTGAGGATTATTTTCCCATGCTGCTATTATACAGCTCCTCAGACAGACACCTAGATTTTACTTTAAATGTTTGGGAAATGTCTATCCCTTTCATTTTTGGTTTTAAACATATTTTCCACAGGAATATAAGTTTTACAGATCATTTTGTTTATAATTTTTGTTAAATTTTTCATTTAATTTCATGGTTCAGAAAGCGATATCACACTTAGGCATATTTTATATACTATTTATTATATAATATATTCATAAATAGATAATTAGACATTGTTTTATTTTAAGTACTAAAAAAAACCTATTATGTAAATGATAATAATGAATTTAACTTGAGATTATTTGTGAGTAGGTAATTACTAATTTAATTATATAATTTTATGAGTAATAACATTCTCACAGTAGATGCTCACTTTCATCAATAGCAAATGAAAATATTTATAATATTTAATACTGATCTTAATTCATCTTTTAAATTTTAGATTCACTTCAGTATCTGTGTTTTGTGTTATTTATTGTACTAGTTTTTAATATTTAAGAACATGTAAAAAAACAACACTTATTTTATGTTTTTAAGGGGTTTAAAAACTTAATATCTGAAGTTTATTTTTAAACAATTTAATTTATATCATATTTTATTTTTAATTTTACATTTAATACATTTTTAAGTATGTAAGGTGAGCCTGATATAATAAATACTTTAAACATTGTCTTGTCATTGGAAATTATTTTTTCAAGTTCTACTTACGATTAACTGAAAATTCTGCGAACTAATCAAAAATAATTTGGAATTTTAGTTAAATAACAATTATTATTTACCATTATTGTTTTTTAAATGATGTTCTATGGCTATTGTCACTGATATCAGATTATAATATTATATTCATTAACAAATTTAAACACTATTAAATTATTAAATTATTTAAATTAAAATGTGGAAGATATAAATTAAATATCTTAAATAATTTTGTAAAAAATAACAGAATCTCCAATAGTTTTTTAATAAATATTTTATTTTAAATTGTTTAAAATATTTTTTTTACGGAATAATTTGAGAAATAATAACATTAATTATTTATGCTTCCTCATTAAAAAAAAAGAAATGGTTGACTAACTGTTAAAATAATTAATCAGATTTAGAGATTGATCAAACTGAAAATAATCATTCATAACTTGTATTATGTGTGTTATAATTGAACTATTGAGTAACCAATATTATTTTAGCAGAGTAAAATTTATGATATAAACACTTAAGTATTGATAACCATTTAATTGTGTCAAGTTAAATTTAATTCAATCTACTCTGTGGTTAAAGTACATCTATAATATATTATCAATAATTAGAATATATTTTACAACAAACTATGGTTAAATAAATGTAATGTATGGATGATTGGTTAATATCTAAACTTTTCAAACAAAATACTGGACAATTATGCATTTCAAAAATACCTACCATCCATTTTTAGTTTAGTAATATATTTAGCCATGCCTAACCTTAAAACTTTATGGATGATACATATAATGTTTTATCTCAATAAGATGAACAATGATTCTGAGCAATGTCATCTATTTATTAGGATATTTTATAACATAGCTATAAGTATAATAATTAATTAAATAATTCATATAATATAGTTACTTATTAATTTAGTAAAAATGTTATATAATTGACATTTTCAGTAAAGTATTAATTAATAGTATTAAATTTTGCTTTAAATAGGAAGGTAATACTGTAATAGATTTACAAGCATAGTGTGATGCCTGTGTAATAGCTTGGTACTTAATAATTATTAATTAAGAATTTATGAATCGGTACACATTTATATTTAAATGAAATATTACTATTGTTATTTCATCACAAACTTATGAATGTGACAATTTAAACTTGTTTAGTAATTTTTAATGCCTCATAGTTGTGAACTAGTTTGTATATTTTAATTTAATATCCAAAAAATAACTTAAACAAAATAAACTAGATGAAGTAAGTTAAATAAAATTACTTGGATATGATATGCAAAATCCATAGCAATCGTCTGAGACAATTAACAATTCCAATAATTTTGACATAAACTTATGGTTTATTTAATATTTTTGTATAAAAATTGAAGTATCATTACAAGTTCCTACATTACAAGTATTAAAATAGGTAGCAACTTATATGACCGCAACGCATACCTACTAGTCGGAGTGATTTTTTTTTCTATTGTAGGTAGTAGGTACTTACTACCTACCTAGAATAAATGCTGACAAAAGAAAAAAAAAACAACGATTTAAATAGGTAAAACGTGCATGAATCGATACATTATTAACTCTCTCTCAATAAGCCAGTTATTAAGATGAGAAAAACTTAAATGAAATAACTTGGATAAAAATTAATTGAAAATCCAATTTGAACTCAAAAAAGTGAGGAGGAGTGTAATTGAAAACATTTTGTTTTTCTGCACGTGCATGAAAAAAAAAATAAGAATATATTTTTTTAATTAAATGTAGTAACATATCCTTTGTGCAGTAAAAAAAAAAAAAACATAAGGTTTTAGGGTAATTGAAATATTTTGTCCCCCTTATCATTGAACATTGTATTGAAAATAAATATACACAATATTATATTACCTATAGGCTATAATATTATTAATGTAGCCAATGTAGGTAATACGTTGTCTGGGTCTCTGGAGCTGCCATTGGCGGAATACGCTATATTATCTAAGATCCATTTTCATAATATTGATCGACAATTATTTATTATTATTGCTGTAAGAATTAAAATTCTCGCTGACGAATATTGTAGTAGGTATTATATTATCGTAATATTACATTTATTCGACATCAGTATAATCATTTTTTTTTCTTTTTATTATTTGGTAAATCATACGTTATTCTAAGCCCGCGGTAGACCTCTGTAGCAATCGGAGACAGTTTTAAGCTATGTCAATACCTATACCTACGAAATCACTTGTAATTTACAAGTGACCAGTAGGTAGGTACCTACGTATAATTTCACAAAGCCGTCGTCGAGTTCGTGACTTATTATTTTTTCCGACCCCTTTGAAAACGGATTCTAGGGTGTGTTGCTGGCGTGAAAATGTCCCCGAGAGGGGTTTTTCATCACACGTAGCGCTCCCCACGGCGGCGCGAAACTCCTGCTGCCGGCGACGCATTTTCATCACGCCGGACAATAGTCCGTATAGTCGGCGCCGGCGTGGGCGTCGTTTGCAAGGGCGAGGCCGTCATCAGCGGTCGTATTTGTTTACTATATAAACGACGATATTATTATCATCTCGTCGTACCGCGCCAAAATCGTTTTCCATAACCGTTTTATTTTATTTTTATAATTTTTGTATTTTCAAAATTCGTACATCACGGCTCCCCTTCCGATTCAACATCAACAATTATTTTTAGCCGCGGGTTCCGTTGGTCGCATACACCTCGATCGGTGACACAATAATAATTCGCGTACGTGTACAGTCCTATATACGCCCTGTTCAGTAATGATGTGCCGCTGCGACGTGCCCGACAACGTCAACGACACTGCCGCGTGACGACGTATCGCGGTTCTTCGTGACCAATATTGGTGTATACCGCACACTCGTGCGGCGCGTATGTTGGGTTACCGCAAGTTTATACGTAGTTTTTTGTATTTCATTGTAATAACCCGAACACTCGATAACATTGTAGATCGAAATTATTGTACGAAGTGCCCGCGGTATACGACAAACGCGTATTAGGTGCCAAAATTGTTATTATCATAGTATTATATCTCTCGCAACCGGACCGCAGTCCTGCGATCGATGGACATCAAGGGTAAGGTCGCCATGGTTACAGGCGGGGCCGCCGGCATTGGCCGCGCGTATTGCGAAGAGCTGCTGAAAAACGGAGCCAAAGTAAGATTTCATTTAATTGTATGACTTGTATGACAGTTGTTTACTATTTTGTACAGTTGATGCCACCGGTGGTAGATACGGAAGCTCATTTATGTTTCGGGCGCTATAAGTTCTGCACATAAAACTTTATCATCGTCGTGATAGTGATATACTCAGTGTTCCCGTTTAGGATCTATCATGCTCAAAGTCGGGTATTGAGTAGAACTTCGTTTTACCTTGCAACTTAAATACCCTCACTCATATTTTATTGATTGAACGTTTACGTAGACAACCAACGAATACGAGTAAAATACATAAAAAAAATAAATAAATATTAGATTTGTTTAGTAACACTATTTAAAATATTTAAAAATAAATATGTGAAAGATAAAAATTATACAAAACTTTTTAAGTAATAAAAAGTGCTTAGTATTTAATTAATAATACCCAATTGTTATTAGTTTACTATTTTTTTTTAGTTTTTGTGCAATTATATCATATGAATGATAAAAATATACAAAACATTTGTATACGATAGAGAGACTTAATTAATATGATTTTAATATAAAAAAACATAATATACATACAACATAAATGTAGTACCTACACTATTTAATTTGTCATTCTAATTTTGTTCTTGGATTAATTCCTCAGGATCGCCAATAACTACATTGTTGTGTACACAATATTACAATATTTATTGTAATAAAGTCAGTATCCATATTTTAAAATAATCGTTCCGTATATTTTTCTGTACAATAATAATTGATAACTCAAATAAGCTACTATAGCTTACTAAACAATAAATTTGTATTGAGTATGTCGCTATATAAGCACATTTAAACAAATTTACAATACGACTACATGTTTACAGATCTGTACTCTACACGTTTTTAATTTGTACCTACTGCACATGGGTCTTTAATTCGCTTATCACTCATCCCCCTCTAATAATTATCACATGATTGATTATAATAAATAAAGCTCATATTACCCTTAATTATTTCTTCGAACAGAAGAGTTCAGAATATAATGACCAATGTTATAGAAGTATAGGCATTATCTTAGCTGTAAATAACCATAGTCAATGTTTGATGCACATCTGTGTAACATATGTTTTAAGTTAAGACTTTTAACTGGATGATTATAAGTTAACTAATAAATTCTACCTGATCTATCTCAGTATTACCTGAAGGATGTATGTAAGTTTTCCTGAGTCTGTTATATCTTCGTGTATACATAATAAATTCCATCATTATAATTTAATGTTTATAATAATACAATAAGCTATTATTGAAGTCAACATATGAGTACTAACAAAATATTAGGTAACAAAAACATTGGTGAAATTGAAAATAAATTTTAATTTAATTTTCATAATTTGTATAATATGAATATTTAAATTGAAAAAAAATATTAAAACAACTCAGTAAAGTTAATACACCTATCTCCTTTAGGTAAACATATGTTGACTCGAGAAAGTTTACATATTTGTTTTGTACGGTTTATATAATATTGAACTGAGAGAGTTTATTATTGGAGATTTTACTAATTTTAAAAATCGGAAAATTTACCTTATAATAGGGAGAATTGACCATTACCTTTTAACCTGAATCTACACGTTTATAATATTTAAATTACAATAAAGTTGTCATACTTTAAGAAATAACGTTATATCTTCAACACTGCTACGAGTACATTGATATATTTAAGTAAATCTAAGTTTATAATGTATATTTATTTATGTATTACGTATCCAGGTTTCCATATGTGATATTAATGAAGAAGTTGGCGTCAAATTGGCCGACCTATTAGGTGCCAAATTTGGAAACGTCAAAGTAATATTTTGTCCATGCGACGTCACCGATTATCCACAGTTTCAAGGTAATAACTTACAATACAATTATGAGCAAAAAAAAAGCAATATATATGTTTAGATGTAGTGTCATTATTACGGCAATTTTGTTAAAGATGACTTAAATAAATACAAAAATTGTGTAGAATTTACATAACTACGTATAATATTGTAAATTTACTTATAATTATTGATTTAACCTTTTTTTATTATAGGATAACCTATACTAATCATTAGTCAAAATTTACTAAAATTAACGATAATGTAATTATTAAAGAACAATAATAATTAATAAAATATTATAATATTAAACGGAGAACCATTTAAAAAAAATAATTATAATTATTTTGGTTTGTATAAACTTACAAATTTTATTTCTATAAATTTTATTTATTCAAGAAAATATATTAAAAATGAATTATTGTTTTTTACAATATTCAAAAAATTTATATGAGAGTACATACAGATTGATCGAAGGTGGGATACAAGGAATAGCATCTCTCCACTATTTTAAATTTTAATTTTCCCTCCCACCACATCAAAAAACATAACATCTACCCTTAAAAAATGTATTTTTTAAAAGAATATGCTTTGTAGTATAGTTTTGATAAAAACGGCCATGTAATGTTGACTCTAGAAAAGTACTTTAATTTAATACGATACATTTTATATTTATTATTACAATCTAATTGTATCCATTATCAATTTGAAAGTATATTATTAATTTACTTATATTATTAGCAATTTTACAATATATTACACTTCTGATTTTTTTAATATTTTGAGGTATGAAAGTATTTTATTTTATCATTTTAATTTATTTTTTTAATCATAAACTTAAAAATTATTTTTTGTTATCAAATTTATGTATTTTGTAATTTAATTGCCTACCTTTGAACATTTTATTATTTAATTAATTATGTTAAAATATATTGTACTTTCACAATGCTGCAAACTTACTGTCTCAATTATTATATTAAAAAATATATTATATATCTATAGTTATAATTTATGCTTTTTTATAAAAATATGATAATATGATACATTATATTGAATAATAAAAGAGAGAAATATTTTGTCTGATTAGCTTTCATGTCTATTAGGAAGATATCTTAAGATAGACATGATTTTGATCTTGATTTAGAGGTTTTTTCGCCGATTTTACATTAACTTGATATTTATATTGCTATAGGTAGAGCCGTAAAAGATAGAGTAATCCCGCGTCGTTATGAAATTTTTTATTGTACACGCAAAGAGCCTTAAATCCAGTATCTCGGGAATTAATTTTGAAAAATTTGTGATTTTTTTTTTTTTGTGTAAGATTTAGTTGTCCATAGTTTTTTTTTTTTTTTTACTATTATTATTTACAATAAGATGTTCCTAGCTATTGTTATATATTTTTTACTTAACCTAAGAAAGTTAGTACATAAGTATAAATTTAAATCTAATTTTATATGTGACATATGCTTTATTATTTTCAGATGCGTTCCGAAAAACTATAGCAGCTTTTGGTGGACTTGACATAGTGGTTAATAACGCGGGTGTGTTCAACGACCGATTCTGGGAATTCGAAGTGGATGTGAACTTGGTAATACGGTATACCTTACTATTTTTATTAATATTATTATTATACATGTGGGAGTTCATAAATTATTTTTTTTATGCTTTAATATATTTATTGACTTTGGAACAGTTAGAACTATATATACCAAACATTAAAATTTAAAACTGTTAACTAATTATGATTTATGGTTAATGGTAATTATATTTAATTTAAATGCTAAGTTGATTAGCAGATATTAAAAACAAACTAAATGTAGATACAATTATATAAGATATAAATAAATTTTCTTAATTAAACATTAAATTATTATATACTTAATAAATAAATAATAAACGGTTTTAGCATAATATTATACTTAAGTACTTAACTAATGATTATTTTAAATGAATTTAAAAATCGTTTCATTTCAAATTTTATTTATTTAAAAAAAGAAACCTGAAAATATGTTTTAAACCACTATCTCAATACAACAATTAATTATTAGCTGTGAGATCGTGATAAATTTATAATATAAGTAATTATAACTAAACTATTCGTTAAAAATTTTGAATTAGACAGAACTTTAAAATTGTAGCACAAAGGAATAAATATAGTATATATTACATATGAAATAGTATAACTAATATTATAAATATTTAAAATTCTAGCAGTTTCGCAATACCACCCCTATTGACTACATTTACAATTTACAAAAATATGCGGGAAATGTTAAACATATACGATTATGCAGTCACGCACGTATTTTTTTGGGTTCGATGACCACCACGCCTTATTACACTTTTCTCATTTTTTTCTTAATTTGTAAAATTCGAAATAAATAACTGTTATTAGTTATTTATTAACTGCTAAAATCAAAATTGTTTTATTTCAAATAAAACATTTTTCTTTACTTTTTAAGGAAATAACATTTGACGCTTGACAGTGATACATTGAAAGCAATCAATAAGAATAACTATATAATTATGTATTATTGAGCTACCATTAATAACTACTTTTAAGCAGAAAAAAAGAGTTCTACTAATTTAAAACAACTAGTAAACTAGTCCAATACTTCAGAAATGTATTTGTTTACCCCTACATGTAAAAAATCATAATTCTTAAATTATCTATTTGCGCGTTTAGTTAATTTTTTACCCCTTCCCCACTCCAACTATGAAAAAACAAATAATTTTCAAACTTTGTTTTTTCTTATCATTAATGTGACAAATTCCTGACTCTTAACTAATCTCTTCGCGGATTTTTTTTTTTTTTTTTGTATGCACAAAAACATAAACAAACGAAAAATAATAATTTTTTTTTAATATATTGTAAACTTGTGGTTTTATAAAGAAAAAGATAAGATAATAAATTTAAATTTATTGTATATAACATAGAATGGTGTCATCAGAGGCACATTACTGGCCATGCAACTCATGGGCAAGGACAAAGGAGGTCGTGGTGGCACAGTGGTCGTAACTTCGTCTACAATGGGTTATAAACCATGTCCCAGCATGCCAATCTACACGGCGACCAAACATGCCCTAATTGGTTTCATTAGGTCATTTGGGGTGAGTTGTATAATATACATTATATGCACCTACCTATATAATACGAGTATATATAATATTATATTTTTTGTAAAATATACTATTACAAATATTTATTGGGTAATTTAAAATTGTAACCGCAATACATTGATTAATGGCATAAGGCAATAACTATAATTATATTTCCATTAAAATGTATCTTATTACATTAAACCAATTATGTTTCGAAAATTAAAATAGCTATTATAAATAAAATAATATTACCTTTTTGTTATAATTATATATCATAATAGTAATAGCACTAAGTATAAAAATAAAACTAATGTTCATTTTAGATTTTTTGTTAAATTATAGTATTAAATTTACTTTTTATGTACTGATTTTCATTATAAATTCGACTATATTTTAGTCATTAGTAACCTAGTTCACATTTAATTCACATTTTAAAACTAGTTTTAATATTAGTTAAAATTACCTATCAATTTGTACCTTAATATCACTAAATAGTACACAGTATTGTAGTGTATTTTATTCATGAAATTGTATTACTATAGATATTGACGATATTGTTCTTTCACTACTTAATACATTTTAGGATCCTTACCACACGAACTTAACAGGGATTCGAGTGATCGCTTTATGTCCAGGAATGACTCTGACTGATGCTATACCCGAGGATGTTAAACTGGCGTTATTATCACCCAATTTTATACATCTTTGGGATAAGGATGTTGCATCACAAGCACCCCAAGCGTATGTTAATCATCAACGAAGTATATAAACTGTTTAAGAAAATATTTACGATTTTTTTAGAGCCCAAAGTGTGGGACGTGCGCTAATTCACGTGTTACAGAAGGCTCAAAGTGGTTCGGTTTGGGTGGCTGAAAACAATAAATCAGCCAAAGAAGTTAAGTTCCCTAACTTTTAATTTTAAGCACCATCTGCCAATCGCTTTTTAAAATAATTGTTTTGTTTTTTAATGTTTAAACTATTATCCACTTGTGATGATGGGCAAAATTTTATTGATTATTTATAATTTATATAATTATATGTTTTTTGTATACTTGAATTCAAAATCAATAATTTACCGTTATTAATTATTATTGTTTAATTCGCGGAAATAATGCTTCAGTAGATTATTCATATAAGCAGGTATAATATTTCATTTTATAATCAATATTTAGCGTATCGGTTTTTCATCTTCAAATTATTTGGATAGTCAGATGAAAAATATATCCATGTTAACGACATTTCGATGGAAATATAAATTAATCAACGACATATACATCAAATATCATCATATCGAAGTATAAATAAAAACTATGTACTCGTACCCAATGCTCATATATTAATCGTATTATATATATAATATATATATATGTATGTATGTATATAGTTAGAAAAATCGGTAAAATATCGTTAAACGATTATCTCTGGTTTTAATATCTGACGGATTATATACATACATATATATTAAATATTTTTATGAATAGGGTTTTTTAATAATTTTTTACGCATTACACCAAAACTAATAATAATTAATTATTCAAATTTTGTATATTTTTAAAATAATCATCGGCTGTGAAACTATTTTGTTTTGTGATATGATATGCTATTTACTTAATTAGGTACCTATTATATTATTTTATTATACCTACCTATTTCAAATCCCCCAATACCTTAGGGATATTGTTCTATATGAAAAATCAAAATAAACGAAACTCACCTGGGACCATGTTACATTTAAAATAATAAAGACCAATAACAATACAATATTACTTTTTTACGGCATGTATTTTTTCCACATTATTATAACACGATATATAACATAACATCATAATATTATACGCATGTAACATTCAAAATGTTAAAACCTTATGTAGGTATGTTCTTCATAACTAATACTCTATATTTATCTGAGTTTTAATTCCAAATCAAAATACCTTGATTTAACAATGTAAATATCTCACACCAATGGTATCACCCGCAATCCAATAATCAAATTATATTTATCACGTAACTTCTTATTATAATAATGTTATATAACTATAACCGATTGTTATTTTTCAAAAATAAAAAATACATAAATATACATACATATTAAGCCAAAATAGTAGTAATAAAAATAAAAAACATTTGCAGAGAAAATTTACAACAAAACACAGATAATCCATTCATTTATGGGTCGATTTTACTCTAACATTGAAAATGCAATATAATGTCGATTATACCGAATGTAAATTTAATACGTTTTGCTACTTATATTATTTATGAGATGGGTATAATACATATGTAATCATTCGCTTTTAAAATTCAATAATTTTATCGAAATTATTTTAAATTATTCAACGCGTAGATAGCATATCAGACCACAGCCAATACATAATATTATTATATAATATGTAATATGTATCTATTATTTAGATATACGTTTTTATAATTCTAAATATTAATTACAATACTATTTAATATTAATTGATTTGATTCTTTTTTTACATACCTATAATATATTCCTGCATACCTATCATAATACGTATCTTAATAATTATGCATAAACATTATACCTAAATTACTAAATAACATTAAATATCTTACTACGACAAACAATGAATTCGTAAACAGTTAACACCATTAAGAATTAAGATTAAAAAAATAATAAGCTCCAGAACCGGGCAGAAGAAGAAAATCATAAATCTAAGGGTATGGTTTGGAAATAGTCCATCAGTCATGTTTAATGCCGTAACCGACAGAGAGCATTGCTGGAATAGTCATTACTCATCAACATTCAGAATCGGATAGGCATCTCAAGAAGTATGTATATATATTATGATTGTCTAACATTCCGTTTAAAATAAAATTATCTCATCTTAAAGCGTCATATTTTTTATTGTATTGACAAATTTTGAACGGTAAGCTTTTTATTTCGTTTTTATCTCATCATATCCAAATCATTATATACTTACTATGTGCGTAAAAGAAAAACAGACACACACACAAAAAAAAAAAAAAAATTCAAAACAATAATTAATGTATTTACTATGTTATAATTAGTTATTATTGAAATCAAAAGAATATATTTTATAAACATATACAAAATAATTTTTTGTGTTTTTGTCTAATAAGCGTCGTCGGCCGTCAAGTGACGAATAACGGCATAAAAAATAACGTAAAATTTCAACATTTTTATAAAAACGAGTGTTTTTTAGGCTTTAGTAGTTATAAGATAGTTTTGTAATATTGTAAAGAAGGCTCCAGGAATTTCAATTAAATGTTTAAAACCGTAAATAAAAATAGCTATCTATTTTTAATCATTTAAAATTGATTACACATGAAACAAATTATGTAGGAAAATACAAAAATTATCGAATAAACAAAAAATAAAAATAAAAACATTTAAAATACATAAAATATTGTTCTAATGAATTATTCAAAAAATAATTATTATAACTTAATAACTTATAAATATATATATATTACTTAAATATAATATAATATCATACAGAAATGTCGTATAATATATAGTTTAATTGAACCAATAATAAATTAAAACAAATCACATTTGATGCATTATACGACCTGTATCAATATAACAAAAAAAAATATATATAAATATATATATATATATCGCTTAACCGTCTTTTAGAACTGTATTTATCCATTTGTGATTCGACTTAACTCGATCGTAGAGCCTCGGTCTCATCATGCCATCTGCCGAACATGCAATACGCCAATTAGTAACGCCTACCAAGATCCAACTCTTCTTATTAGCTGATAGGCACATCATCGGACTTCCAGCAAATTCTTCCTCCGTACAATCGTTATGATCGTAAATCGAATCGTAGCACAACCCGTTCACCGTCGTGATGCTGATGTTGGTACAGCTGTCCATAGAACTTTCTTTAACCTCGATCCTCTGAAGGTTGTCTCCTATAAAATTAAAATGAGTTAATGCAATAACGTCGATAAATTCCAAAGATACAATTTAGTAAAATAATAAAATATTTAATTTATTTTACAATATCATGTGGAAAAAAATTTTGAAAATACTAACTATTTTTCGCCCAACCCAACGTTTGGCAGTGTAGATTCGGTACATCGCTCGACTGGTCGTCATTCAGGCACACCGGGCGAATATAATCCGAATAAGTGACGGGTGAACTTAATTTGACCAAAACTAACGTGCTTCCTTCCACGGGCGACTTGACCATTCCGACAATGTGACGCTCTTGTTGCCACGGCGATACAGCGTTCAACCTCACCGCTCCTAAACGCGCCACCCATTCGGCTTTGCTTTGCCTAAATAGCCACATACAAAAGTTTTATAATATACATACAAAACTATAATGTATTATAGAAATCTTTTTATTCATATATTATTATTTGTCTACGTATATTCGTGCCGCAGCAGCTGATAAGCCATGGGTAGTAATAATTTCCAAAACACAATTGATGTGATTGATTTCAATGTTCCATTTTACTTAAACAAATAATTTAATAATTACCCTTGAAAACACGAAGCGCTGGTGAGTAACCATTCGGAAGATATGAGACTACCGTCGCAAACGTGGGTTCCGCTTTTGTAGAGAATGGCATGCCATGGCCAGTCTCCGTGGGAAGCCATTTTATTTAAACCGTCGACACCATGTTTCTGCCTCCTGTTCGTCTGTACACCGCAAACTTTACAAGCGTAAACGGAAAAAAAAATTAAACACTCGCCGACGGAAGATTTCAAATTGGTATAAAAGAGAGTAAGTAGGCATATCATGTATATATAGGAATATTGCTTACCGGCATCGCTACATGCAACGCGCAGAACTTTTCTACTGGGACATGTGCCCAGGTTAAAAGTTATCTCGCTGGCGAATGGATCTACGACATGTGCATATCGCGAAAGACCGGACGTTGTTGTTAGCAGGTCTTCGTCGTCGACAATTTCGACACTTGTCAAATTCCTATAAGAATGGATGTTTATATATTATTATACGCCGACCGAGTTAATAAAATTATTGTACACGTTTGTGGTATAATCGGACAAAATGACGTTGTACATAAGTAATAAGTATATTAATAGTATAATAATATTATATCGTAAATCGCTATACCGTACTGCTATATAACAGTGGCGTTGACATAACTGTTACGTACACCACAAATATTGAGTAAACACGAGTAAGTGTATGCTGTAAAAGTAAATATTCGTGTATTGTGTTTCTTGGATTGGTACGATTAAATTCACGAAAGTGGAATATTTTTCAGAAGGGCCAAATTGTGCATTGTGATTTTTACATTTTGGCACCTCTGCTGCAGTGTGCAAGACGGTAATAACGAAGGTGTTTACTTACTGGTAATTTAGCGTGCGACAGAGTGATGTTGCGATTGTTTGGAGAGCTACGGACATCTTTTCGTTTGGAATGTCTGTTTGAAAGTTAGCTGCACACAACTTGCCCGACATTCCTTGTTCGACAAAAAACACGAAACCTTCAGTCGGGTACGAATCAATAGTGGCTAACGGCAGCATTTGATCTACAGATCTGCCAGTTGACGAAATCAGAACTAGATACAAAATAAAATATATTGGTATTTATCATAATACAATACGAGTATGTTCTAGAAATCATATAGAATAAATAATTTGAAGACCGTTCGCTATAAATATGTGTGTGTGAGGGTGTGTATGCGTTCATATTGTATCCACATGACCAAAACTATCATTTTTAAATATTTGACTCAATATAATTCTGCATTTGACCTATGTTTATTTCTCCATTCGTCTCGGTTTATTTATTCGGTGTATCGTACTATTATAATGTATAATATAGTATACTTAGGAGGTCGGTACTCACGACAATTGCGTTCGTCAACCTCGCCCGGACAGTCGACCACGCCGTCACACCGAGATCGGGCTGGGATGCATGTCCGGGATGTAATGCAGTGCAGATAACCAGCAGGACAATAGCCACAAGTCGTCTCGTCCGACATGTCGGGACAGTCTAAGACACCGTCGCACAGTCGGTTAGACAACCCGGTGGTCCGGAGCTTGTAATCGCAGCCGGGCTTGGACGCGCATGTCGAGCCGATGTTGCTGTATTCGGGCAATTTAGCGCAGTCAAAACTGGCCATCAGTTTCTCTGGTATCCGGTGACCACAACCCGCGGTGAATAGCCGGCAACTGTGCTTGCACGGCAACGTTATTTCGTCCCGGCCGAAATTGACGTCTGGTTTGCAAGCCGGTTGCAATAGTTGACAGATAAAGTCCAATGTTCTTTGGTAACATTCCGCGTCTACCAGATCCCTGTAGGAAGATCAATACATTATATGTAATATGTATGAAAAAATAAATTTGTGTAAACCGTTAGATAGGGAATCTACTGGAAATAATTTTAAAATGATATTCTAAATTCGTCTCAAAATAAAAATTATTTTTAAATTGCACAGCTCAAACATATACTGCATTTTCCGGATTAAATCACCATGAGATAAAGTGAATTACGTCCCAAAAATTAATTTTTTTAATTTTATAATATTATTTTCAATAATTTTGTCGATCAAAAATTGTAATATTCTTTTGTTTATCGACGATTACATTAAATTTGTTTTTTTTTTATCAATTCTTAAATGACATATTTACAAAATCGATTCTCAATGATTTGAATTTTCTGATATGATGCCCAATTAATGAAATTTTTTCTGGTTCATTGATCTAAGTTTTTTTTAAGTAGGTATTTTATAAAAAAATTATTGAATTGAAACTGTTTATCATCAAATTGATTTTTTTAAATATTCTAAAAAATATGACCGAATGAGGTTAATTAAATTACAAATTTAGATATTATCTACCATGAATATCAAATAAAACATTACGTAGGCACTGTTAAAGAATTAAAAAGGCATAATTTAAAAATTAGACGCACTGGGACTATGCTTTTTAATTATGCACGTATGTATGCAAATATAGTTTAAAATGTTTAAATAGTATATACCTATGTAATATATATACTTATTAGTTATTACGATTAAAAATTTTCAAAATATATGTTGTAACAATATAAAAACGTGTAGGTACTCTAAAATTCTTAAAAAAAAACATGCCTTCTATATATTTACTATACATATATAAATATGCGTATGTATTAATGATTATAAAAACAATAAACATCTTAAAATTTTAGGTAGGAATTCTTCATTTTATATTGTTTAATTACTTTTAATGTTCTCAGTAGTTTGCTTTAATGCGTTTATTCAACATCAAACCAATATTATAATACGTGTAACGCAGTTTTCACAATATTAATACTAACCTGAATGTAATCAAATCGTCGTGAATTTCATCCAAATTTTTATGTCCAAAATGATTAGGATAACTCGTCAAATTGTACTCTAAAACGGATTTACACAAATTCAGTCTTACAGGCGTGCATCGTCTCGGCGGTGGTGTGGTTGAATGAAATTCAACGGTTGATATTTCTGGAGCTATTGTCGACGGTTTTGTAGATAGCAAAGCATTGTTGGTAATATGTTTGATGTGCAAACTCCCCGGGATGATTTTCGTTGAAGGATATAAACGACGAAATGCCGATAATATCTCTTCTACTGTAACAGACGCTCTCCATCTAACTGGTTCAAATCTTAACCAGAAATTCACTTTCAAATTGCCCTCATCGCTGAAAATTAAAGGGCAAATTATGAATTTTACTCACTTTTATTATAATCAATGTTATGGTCTATTATTACTTATTAAAAATAGACGTATATCATATGATTAAATATTATAGTTCTTACGGTTCAAGAGAAATGATTTCAGCGTCGATGAATTTTTTTTGTATCGGACTACTGCTTATAATGTTTTTTATTAAATGTGTATAGTTCAAGACGAAACGTTGATAGTCTTGACTGTCTGGGTTGTCATAATCGATTAAATCTATTCCCTTTTCATCTGCTCTCAAATCACCTCTAAATATTTTTTCTTCGCCGTTATATGTACGTTGTAAATAATCATCTGAAAACCATATTAGTTAAGTTTAAAGTAAATTACTTTTATATTAAAAAATATATACAATCAACGGAACTAAAGTACCGTTTTTATATTAATAAATTGATTAGCTGATTGATTAAAATTTCACGGTTATACTGTATCATATAAGATATATTGAAGTTAATAATTGAATTTGTATTCATTATTTTATTACTTCTTTTTCTCTCTATAATTTTTAAATTTAATTATATGCCTAAAACGTATACTATTTTATGTTTATCTCAAATTATATGATCGATCTTAAAAATAATAATTTACATTCTAAAAAAATAAAAACCGAAAATAAGCATTCGATTTGAATAATTGTAATTACAATTCACAATTATTATTATATCGTATAAATGATGTTTAGCTATGTATTTTCAATGTAAATTTAATTTAATAATTTATTCCATCTTTATTTAATATATGTATATACATTTTTTTTGCATGTTTGTTGTGATCATATAACTTCCAAACGACTCTATTAATTGAGGTCATATTCCTACCGTGTATTTTAATTATTGAAATGATGGCCCATAGCTAATTTTTACTTTTAAAAATACTAACCCTTAACGTATAGACGTATTATCATAATATTAACATAGATCATCGACCTTAGTCTTCACGCGCATTCATGGTTTCATTGGTACCTATGTCATAAATGCGGTTCATTTATAAATATTATGTAGCTCTCTGTTGTAGATTTTAGTCACCCGTTCAATGAGGTCATACATTCGTGGCACAGTCAATTTGTAAATAAAAGTCCTTATAACTCGTATTCATTTTTTAATTTCACACAAAAAACTTCGTACGGGTTATTTACTATATCATTTTCATCAAATTAAAACATTTTTGAAACTCTGTTAAGAGTAAAATAGCCGGCCAATTATTAAACAACGTGTACATTTGTATTATTTTTTTTTTTTTATAAAGTATATTATGTATAGAAATATGCTAAAATAATATTTAAATAATATCGTAAATACGCCATAAAATATTATTCTACGTAGACTACATTATAAAATCAAAGACCTTAAACGGCCAAACAAATCCACAGTTTTCGATCAATGTTTATAAAATTTTTGACATCAGATTCAACAAGATCTGTAGCATCGTAGTCTACTTTTTATTACTTCTCTTTATTTTTCAACCAATAATAATAAATATAATTAATCACGAAAAACTACTATTTTTTAAGTTATATATACTTGTCATTAGTCACAGAAAATAAAATAGTTTTTATGGTTAGATATAATCTTAGAACTGCAATTTATATTTTATCAAAAAACTCAAATAATCGTGTTAAAAATGTGTGCAGTTTACATTCAACGAAGTTTTTTCTTAAACTTTAGAAAGGGTAAATCCACAGACATTTAATTTTTCATAGATAACACTGTTACAGGATTAACTTGACGTGTTAATATTATACTATAGTCAAATTGGAACTATGAAAATTATATAAAATTATTATAACTTATTAGATATAGCCAAATAGGTATATTATAAGCTATATTTTAAGTCTTAGTTATTTAATTATTTAATATGAAAACTAAGTTTAACTTAAATTATTTAGAAAAGTACTGCATCCGTCCTTACATCTTAATATATCTTTACATGAGCCCATAAACAAATTTTAGAAACAGCATGTATTTTTGAAGATTTCTGAAAAGATAATTTTTACGTATATTTAAAAATATATAAAAGAAGCACACTATGAAACGTTATAATTACTTACTATAATAAACAGTCAAATAATTATTTTATTTTTATAACTTGCTGAGACTTGTCTAATTTCAAATGCAACTAAACATAAACGAGTTATTGAACGAAAATTTAAATGCCAAATGTTTCATTAAAAAATATAAAATATAAAAAAAAACCCTTTATCAATAATTTAAAATTATACGTCATATTAATAAAAAATGGTATCTGGCAGACACCATGGGAATAACCAAATAAAACGTTTTACTAGATTAATTAATATAATTATTTATGAAAAACAAAAATTAATTTTGTACTAATCAATGACCAAGCTTCCAAGGCCAAGTCTCAATAAAATAATGATAATTGAATTTTTTTTGATAAAATATATGTTTTTACTGATAATGTGGTCCACGAGATATATTTTCTAAATAAATGCCCCACTGTTTAAAAAAGGCTGAAGAACCCTGATATAATCAAACCCAATTCAAGCATTTAATCACATCCAAACAAATCTTTATTTTTTTTATTTTATAATTTTATCTCAAATATTTGTACATGAGTTAAAATAATCATAAAATACCCCTCTAAGAATTTCACCCTAGGCGACGTCTGTCCCATCTGCCCTTTAATTGCCGGGTCAATAATTTTGTAAAGTTACAGTTATGATACGGTACAGCTAAACATAATTTATTAATATAATATTAAATTTAGCTAAATATATATTGCATAAATATGTAAATATGTAATGGTATTTTGCTCAGCCGTGCGTGTACTATGCGTGTAACTAAAATTTCATATCGATTGTTCGTTACATTTTTTATTCCTAAAAGCATAAATCGAATCACGATCACCTAATTGCAGCCCAAGACTCAAAATCAATTTCCTTTATTTATTTATGTATACACATATTTTTTATTGTTATTATTATATTTACGTTTTTTTAAGCGTTTCTGCCGAAGAACAAAATACATCGACTCATAGATGTGGACGTGTGTTGCATGAATAGAAAAATACAACACAATGGACACGGTCGATCATGGGTGAAAGGAAGCGCCGTTTTGTTACACTTTCAATCGACAAACAAATACTAAAACTACCATATATTACACGCAGTCTGTAACGAAATAATGTCTAATGACTGTATAATATATATATATACATCTGGTGGATATTGTACAAAAATCACTATTGCTTAAATAATAATTACGCGTTCTTAATAAAACTCGCTGTGTATAGATATAATCAATTTCAGAATGTAGAATATTTTTGGCCATAGATGGAAACTACAAGACGCGCCTGCATTCATCGTAGATATATGAGGTATTTAATGACTAAAAAATATAATATTGTGTCTGACGACTTTCCAATTTATTTATGGTGCCTGCGTCACAAAGGTTTAATTTCTATTCTTATACCTATGGTAGCTATTTGAAAGGTCATTTTCTACAGGAAACTATGAACAACATAATAAACATTTTTAAAATTATATAAGCATGTATTTTATACGCTTTTCACGCATATTTTCAACTGAAGATTTTAAGAAATGTATTTGATTATTAAGGTGATTATTCATATTAATAACTATAATACTTTTTCAAATTTATTATAAATTTTAAATTTCAATAATATATTAGTAATATCACTATATAAGTAGGTACTTATATATATATGTACATATTATATAGGCATTTATAAAAACAAATAAAAATAATGGTTTTAGTTGAAAATTTACTGGTTTTAGAGTACTATTATGAAGAAAACTTGTTTTTTCATCTATAATAGGAATATTTGAAAAATTTAATATACTTAATAAATAATTTAACTTAAATTTTTCGAAAAGCGTCAAAATTTAGTAATTATTATCATACCTATATTTTATAACTCTATAACTAGAATCAAATCTATAATTATTTTAACTTAAAAATCAGCGTCAGACTATAAAAATAAAAATAAAGTCAAGCACAATAGTGCTTTGGTGTGCGTTGAAACAGTTATCAATTATCAATTAACGTATACATAAGTAGTCTACACCAGTGGTTCTCAATCTTTTTAGAACCGCGACCCAAATTTTTTTTCCAAAAATCTATTGCGACCCCCATAGTTTTAAATTTACAGAATCAAAAAAGTAATTTTAAAAAACAAATTTTTTTATTACTTATTTACTACTTTATAATAATAATAATTGTAATAATATACTTATAATAATAATATAATACTACTTCTCACGACCCCCCCCCCCCCCAAAAATTGACTCGCGGCCACCCAGGAATTCGCGACCCACAGTTTGAAAAACGCTGGTCTACACTGTACAATAGGTATATTTTCATTATACATATGAAATCAAGTCAAAAGTATTACTACTGAGTAACTTCTTTTAATCAAGTCACTCACATCATCAATTAAAATATCAAACATGCTTATTGTAAAATAAAACTTACTGATTGTATGTTTTTCAATAAATAATAATAAAAAAAACAAATTATTTGTCTCACTTAAAAATTATCTAAATCAATCAATAATTGGTTATTAATTAATCAAATTACGAGTATTAATCTCATAAAAACATAAAATAGATATAGCAATTAGCAGGTATATTCTTTAATAAAGAAACTCCCGCCATCAAAGAACTAAGTGCTTGGACTATTTTTAAATTTATAATATGTTTATATGACCTTGTTAAAACTTTATTGAATAAGTATTTATTTATTAAATTCAAAAATTCTATTTAGATGATAATATAAGCAATAAATAAATAATCAAAACAATATTTTTATGACAAAGTTCTATAAAACTAATATACTTAATCCAAAACAAAGTGGGTACGATAAGTTTTTAGTCTTAAGATCAGACATTCCTAGAATTTGTTCAAGTGATATTTCTATTAATTAGCAGGTAGACGAACTTAATAATCATATAATAATAACTGTGTAATATATCTACAATTAATTTCAAGGATTACTTATATCAGTTATTATTTATTGCATTGCTTTTGAAAATAAATCAATAATTAATTAACATAAATACCTACTCAATCTATAATAAAATATCTAAATAATATAGGAAACGGAACATAAACAAGTAATATGGTCAATATAGTTCGAACTATAGCTAGGTTCCCTATTAGGAATTAAAAAGTACAATTATAGATAGTTTTATTTTGATAGTTGATAATAAAAAGATTTTAACGATTCAAGTAACTTGTGGAATAATGTATAGGTATTCAGATAAATCAATGAATTTTGTTGTATAACTATATTCTTAGTATATATAAACTGCAATTCTGATGTTTATTGAACCGAATAAACATTATAATCCAAATGAAATAAGACAAAACCTTCCACGAAATCACTTATCTACGTTCTTACTCACAATCCCATAAAATGTATTTTTACACGGTGTCAAAAAACGTTATTTCATTGAAAAGATAAAAAAAACTTATAGAAAATCCGTTAGCCAAATTCCTGCTTGAGATTTTATAATTTGTTTAATTGTATCTAGTAAAGACTATTCATCAACAAATGATCATTTTTAATCATTCAACAGTGCTATAGCTATTTAAATGAACGTTTTAATCGATTAATAACAAACCGATAACTTCATGGAAGAGTTGTCGATTAAAATAATTTTACAGCACTTAATAAAAATTAAATAATATGTTATCTATGTGGGAACCTGTTTACGTCAAATTTTTATGTAGATTTATTTAATTTGTAAAATTATTAATTATTTATATTATAAAGATGTATTTTTATTTTCGAATATTAATATTACAAGATGTAATATAATTTATAAAATATATATATATTATTGTAAGACGTCTTTTTTTAGTAATTTTTTTAAACTATACAATAAAATAACTAACACGCACACACATATATATTATATATATATACATTATTGTGAACAATTTCACTTAAATACACATATACACAATGAACTGTATCTATCTTCTATTCTATTATTCATATAATATTTATTACTGTTACATAATTTGTTAATAAAACTGTTCAGATACACGATTGATATAAATTGTAAAATACTATTAGGTACCCACATTAAAATATACTCAAATACATGACTTCAGTTAAAAATTATGATTTTACATAGAGTACATTATTATTAAACTTAATTTGACTTACTACAACTATACTTCGATAAAAATACATTTTAATCGTTTAAATCGTGGATCTAGATTAGATATTGTGTAAAATTTAAGAACAGGTATCTATTTCTTCCAATTAAATAATATCATATACATACATTATATAGGTTTATAAGAAATAACTATAAGATGTATGTGGTACTAACTATAATTACGTATTTACTTATAGGTAACCTATGTTCGATTATACGTATCTATACTTTGAATGCAATTTTATTTAATTAGAAGTGTAGGTTTTAGTTTAAATAATACAACCATTGGTTCTATAATTTACCTACATACCTATATTATAAAATAAATGATAGTTACAACTTAAGAACCTACTCATTTCAAAACAATAAGTATAAAACTACAGTGTGGGTTAACATTTGTAAACAACCTATAATATAGGTGTCGAATAATGAATCGTGATTTTCGCACAAAGATTCAACTATAGTAAAGGACAATATGATTAATTGATAAATACATTGCGGATTACCTATATATATAGAAATATAGAATAGAAACTTCGTATATTACTTAAAGAAACCAATCGTGTGATGTTGCGATGAATCCAATATATTAATACACCATTTTATACCGTGATTTATCGATCATATAGATGACCTGGTTGCTTGATGATAACATAATATACAATCGCAAATTTAATACAATAAGGAAAGTATATAATAATAAAACTGAATCAAAATACTTAAATAATTGTCATCGTAAAATCAATAACAATAAAAATAAAGTAGGCGCAAGTGGGTAACCGCTCTGCTATAGTAGTATCGAGTGTCACTGTAATTGATGTTTTATTCACTTATATTTGAATTCAATGATAAATCATTATAGACGAAAAAAGAATTTTAAGCAATAACAGCCTGTCCTATATCATTATAAGTATCTATATTTTATGATATATTCTTTGATATAACTATTAAAATCATTTATTTTACTATTAGTATTACAATTGGTTGATTTATTTTTTTCCGATAACATTGAATTTATTATATTATAATTTATTAGAATTAAACTATCAAAATATTTAAAATAATTTAATATTCATATAATATTACATAAATTGATTCTTTTATTAAACAAAATTCATTATTTTAATATCTATTGTTTTGAAAATATTTTTCGTTCATGATTTCAAATCGAGAATAAATAACATACTAATTATTATTATATATATTTTTTATTTTTTACTTTTTTGAATAACAACATATATTTTTAATTTTATATTTTGGAAAAGAATATATTTTAGAATAAATTTAATATTTATATTAAAAATTTATGAGTTATAAGTATTAAAATATAGATAAACGAAAAGAAATCCTACGGAAATACCCCCAAAATAGTAGTCACACTTACATAAAAAAGTAATGTGACTTTCCGGTTAACTTGACTAATAAAAAACTAATGAGGAATCTTGTATTACAATTTTAGATATTAGATATAAAAAGAACATTATTAATATAATCTATCTAATGTTCATTAAATAATGTTACAAAAAACTAATTATTATAAATTTTATATTTAAAATTATAGGTTGTTCATAGTGTTTAGCGAAATAAAATATATTATAATACATCATAAATAAAATTGAATACTTACATCCCGCGTATAAAGATAGTGAAAATATCAACATAAACACTAATATCGTTTCGATAATGCAACACCTCCATCGATATCTTTGGCTGAATTTTCTAGTGAATTTAAGTTCGCTGTCAGTCGTTGATGCATAGGAACCCGTTGCCCCACTAACAACTGATACCTAAAAATAAATCATAAAACTCATTAAAAAAACTTAAAAAGTACATATATACATATATATATGCAGTAATACTTTGTTATTATAGGCTATAGGTATGTAAACCAAAACAATATTTAAAATAATATAATAAAATATTTAACACTCAATATTTTCAACACATAAAAGTAGTTTTAATATAAATATATTATTTTACTAAATAAAAAATTGATAAAATGCGTCAGTTTGGGAAGTTTAATATATATGTATAAATAAATAAGTGAATTGGTTCTAAGTCGTCTTAATAACTAGATATAAGTATACGAGTTGAAAGGGAAGATTTTGTTTTTACAGTTAATAACAAATTATTGTGACTGTAAATTTTCGATATTTTTTAATTAAGAAATTAACAATTTACGAAGAGTTTTGTTTTAGATTTTCAAGTATTTTTATCTAGCAAATAATTTTTAATCGACAATAAATTATGAAAAAAAACTTAAAAAAAAATTGTGTCCCTATAAAGTATAAATAGCTAAAAAAAAAATAGTTAAAGTATTTTGAAAATTTTATTGCAAATAAAATATAATAAAATACACATTTGGTGAAAATTCCAAGTATCTGTGGCGGTTATCAAGTTACATAAAAAAAAAAAAAAAACAAAATCGATTTTTTCAAAAATTGGATTTATGTGAAAATTTCCATTTCACCTAAATTTTTTGTTGGTTTTCCCCAAACATAAGAATAATTTTTAGGAAATTAAAGTTTAACCTCTCTAAAATACAAACTATATCCAATTTAAAATCCCAAATCACCCCTATTTTGTGAATATTGAAGCATTTTATCGATAATTTATATCGTGCACTCATCCACGCAAAAAACAAAAACAAAACATCATTGCAAGATCGGTCGATTCATCGCTCTACTCAGAATCTAAAGTAAACCTATACTCCATAGGTATAAATATCAAATCACAAAACCTAATTTAAACGCTAAAAATGTTATTGATGGTTTCAGTTACATGGTTGTAGAGTACAATAATTTAACTGCGCTATGTTATGGTATTACGAAAGTTATGCAAGAGTACCTATTTTATTGCTCCGTGGTGCGTTGAAATACCGGTACGAGATACACTACGATAGCACAATGGAAGGTCGAAATCGTTGAACTAAATAATCGTGTATATATATATATATTTTATTCAGGATGATTTTAAATCACGGTCAATGCCGACACATTAGTCGTTTGATGAGCCCACGATGTTCTGACAAATGTTATTACCGTACGTATAAACGTTTAGCTATACACCTAAACACGGTATCGGTACGTATAAATACAAATTTAAAATAATTTCAAAGTAGGTCAGAGAACGCACGGAAAACGAGTAAAATAATATCATAGTTATATTAAAATATTTTAAAAGATATTATATTACGTCCTATTCAGACTATAGTACATTTGATAATATACAATATCTGAAGCTATATATTACATACAACCCAACATTGTAATAAAGTATAGAAAATAGATGCAGCATAAAACCGATCACTTTCAAAAGAAATTATTACTTTTTTGTACAATAAAATTTTCATTTCTTAAAATTTACTCATAATATATACATCATTATACTAAGTAAGTGCTGTAACATGGCATACAAACAATGAATTAAACTATTTAATTACAGCATTTAGGTGTAATAACTGTAATAGGTACTTATAGACTATAGTATTGCCTAATAGTTATAACACTTATAACTAATAAATTGAAATGGAAATGAATTAGTTAAAATTAAATTTGTTTTCACTTAATTAACTTAATTTACTATTAAAATTGTAAAAATTTAATTTTTACCCGTTAATTAAAAAAATAATTAATATTTTTCAGTCATTCTATAACATTATAATCCATGGTTTTAAACAAATTTAATAATAAAATTAATTTCTCATAATAGTTTGTTGACAAATTTTAAACCGTTAATAATTTTCACATTATTTACGAGTATGTATATTTATTGTGACTCTGACTCTCTATCAAGTTATTTTACTTATATCATATATGTACGTATAATCATAACTAAAAATAATTAAATGGCCTGTCAAAAATAAAATTATATATATGTATATTATTATTTTAAGTGACAAACAATATCATGACTAGTCAAAATTCAAACTATATTCAAAATAAAATTTAGGTCAAATATATAAGTATTATATTAATAATAAATCAACAAAACTCTTTAGAAATTAGAACAAACCTAAAGATTTCCATACACTTAATTTTAGATAAATAGTACAAAATGTATAAATTTCAACAATTATGTATAAAATTAAGTTAATTATAGTTAAGTACCTTAGAAAAATTATAAAAATAAATAGGAAACAATTATATCAATTTCTAAAAGCCTATGAATATGCATTCGCAGAGAGTTTGCTATTATATTAACAAAAATTTGATTGTTTTAATTAACAGTTAAATCTAATTTAAAATAAATCATATTTATTACTTTTTAGATTGAAAAAAAATATAATAATCAAATATTAAAAATATAGAGGTAATGTTTATCTTTTAAAACAAAACATTTACATAAACTCATATCGGCTTCATCTAGTATACATAACATATAAATGGTATATTATACACTGTCAAATATATAGGTAATAAAATTGTATTTACTGTTTTATTTTATGCAAATAGTCTTATCATTTTTAAAGTTAAATGGTTAATAGTTAGTTTAGTTAATTGGTTTTATTTATCATGGGTTAATAGCTTATTTACAGAAATAGATCATAAAAATTATTAATTCATCAATAATTAAGTCTAAAATTATTTTCAAATATTTACAGTGCCTTAACAATATACGAGTATAAGATACTAGTTAATAAAAAAGGTATAAAAATGCTTAAATTTTTCTTTAATTATTATTTAAAAGTATAAAAAAAAATGCTTGCCTAATACTTAATAGTAGTTATACCTAACCTAACCTATTTTGAGTCTTAATTTATTCAAAAAACTCTCTGCAGAAATCGAATCTATAATAAGACTATCCAATTACCGGTAAAAAAATAAACAAGCTGTAGCATCGGCTATATTATATTAATGAATTAATTTTCTTATTACTTTGCACGGTTTACCTACATGTTTATTTATCCGTGAGATTAAAAAATATCGTTTTCTCGCTGTTTTTTATTAATAAACAAGAGAGGGAACTGCACTATTTAGATGCATTACGTACATTACAGTTTTCAAGTGGGGAAGTAGGTAGCTGATATTAAATTATTATAGTACAAATAATAAGGCACTTTGATGGAGAGTTAATAACTGAACAAACCAATCAATACAGAAAGTAAACAGAATATCAAATCATATAGTTGTATATAATGCTTAGATATACATCTGCAGGAAATGACTGAAACTATCTCCGCGTTTAATTGTAATAATTACCTGCTCGAAAGTGTTGATTTAAATTATAAATTTTCAGAACCAACTGTGCCTGTAAATTGATACATTCATCTTGCATGTCTAGAAATATCTATGCATATATAGTATACAGAGGTAGTCAGCTCAATTGTCTAGTGCGATTTTTTTTCGTTTTTAAGTGAAACTTTTTTAACGAAATTAATATTCTATTGTCGAAATCTTATCACAGTAACACGATTAAATTTTCGTGGGAGTCATGTTTAATATAAGATTACCTGAGGAGGAAGCGTTGTGATAAATGAAATTGAAAACTTTTTCTTAAAAACTACAACATTAGTTCCCATGGAAAACACGCTAGGTATATAATATGTACCTACATTATAATTATTTATAATAAAAATACCTATATTTAATTTGAAAGTGTAACATTTTAAAAACAATTTGATTCCCATTAATAAAAAAATGAAGAAAGTACCTAACTATATTTTACTAACTACCAAACTTAGTATGTGAACAATTTGCTTATGTATGTACAATATGTATTATGTGTGTATTATGTGAAGGCATTTTTGTTTTAAATTTCTAAAATATACAACTTTTAGAAAATACAAAACTAACATTTTACAATAATTATTAACTGCATACATTTCTATGAAATAATTGTTATATTATATCTAGTTTGTATTATAGTGAAAAAAAACACGAATTAATTCTATAAATGTAAATAAAATACAGAAGAAATGTTATAATATATTTTAAATATATTAATGAAAATATAATAATTATTATAAATTTAAGTTGGGTCAATATTAATATAAGTAAACTTAGCAAATAAATACTTAATTTATTTTCGATCAATTTAGTTGTTGATGATCACACGTAAAACCTACATAATATATACATATTTAAACACAAAAAATTTTAAAAATTAGTTAAAGTTTATACCATATCCAAACATATTAATATTATTATTTTTCATTATAACGTTTTTTTTCGAAATTTACATAAGCCTATACTTATGAAACATATTTCTATGTTTTCTGTGTAATGAAAAAATTCCTCTTCGGGTTCTGTATATACTTATTATATATTTAAATTTTTAATTAATTTTACCCTTTGACTGCTCAACCACATGTATATGTGCGAAATTCGAGAGGATAATGTAATAAATGTATACTTGCACTTCAGTTGCACTTATAAAAGGTGATTAACGAAACAAAAACAAGCTCTCATTTAAAATTTTACAACTCCGTCATAGAAACTCCATTACTTGCAATTTGCTTCAAAATAGTTATTATAATTTTACGTTTAATTAATCTTCCTTTATATTATACATCTTAAACCATTAAAAAATTTAAATATTTAGATAGTTTTTAATATATGTATGTTATAATTGTACAAAGAAAGTATAAAGTATAAATCGTTGTTACAATCAAACATATCCAGTAACTGGGCAATAAAATAAAAACACGATACATCATGCATCAGAAATTTCGTCCGGATCGTCGTTAAATTTTTAAAATCTAATAAATATTAAACCAAAGTGAGTGTACAAATATTTTTAAGACCACTCCAATACTGTTATGAGTTATATGCCTATATACATTAGT